TACTCACACCTTAATTATGCTTAATCTGCATAACACTGAAAATGTCTTTAGAAAAATTAGTAAATGAAAAACCGTAGATGCCACTGCTATATCTAAGTGGATTGCATACGAGCTTCGATCACAATAGAAATAACCACCAATTGACTTGACTGGGGGAAAAGAAATTGTTTTCTGAGGATTAATTAGAAGCAAATTAAAAAATAAAAAATAATAATGGAAAGTCTCAATGCAATAAAATGTCAGGGTAGGACAAAGCTGTGAAAGTAGAGGCTCCTGCACAGTGGTTTTTTACATCAACGAATTATCTATCCTTGAAGCTACGATTAGACCAAATGAATACTTACTCTACATTTACCTTCAAAGGGATAAAACACTTTAAACGAGGTCTGATCGAAGCTGAACGTGAGTAAACTCACCGATGGAGTGACCAATCGTCACAGTGTAAGACTGCTCGACAGGCTGGGGGCAGGAAAACTCCAGTGTGGTCTCAACTTCAGGTACCAGAGAGAGAGAAGAGTGGCAGGAAAGCGGTGCGCTGTTCACCTTGCTGACGATACACACAGAACATTTTGCCTGCTCGGTGGACACTGTCACATTCAAGCCTTTGTCTGGTCGAACGACCTCCTGCTGGGATTCTGGAAATCAGATCCAATAATGTGAATATGCTGTAAACTAATCTTAAGAGAAGATCAACAAATGCATAGCTCTACAGGGATAATTATATCAGACTTTAGTCACTTTGGTTCACCCTGAAAGATAAGATCCCATAAAATGTACACATTCATGTCCACCAGAAGATGTATTTTTACCTAAAAAGCCACAGTCAGATTCAGATTAGTTTATTTTTATATCTGTGACCAAATACTTGTGGTCTTAATGATATATAAAAGAAACAAACACATCCTTAAACGGTCCAGCTGATTTTTCTGTTCATGCCTGAGCAAACACAGCAGCTCCAGGCACACCTATTCCCATGCACTGAAGTAGCAGACAAGCGCAAATTAACTGAATTTCGATAAACGTGAGTCACCTAGTGAGTAAAGAGAGGGTGAACCAGTTTTAAAAAGCATAATGAGGTGACTCTCCCGTTGTTTTCTCCTGAGAATGTTTTTCTAACTCTGGGAGAAGCAGTTTTTCTCCACAGCAGCAAGGCTTTTATATAAACCAGGTGTGGTTACAGGTGTCATTTTTGGTGGTCTTTTTGATTTAATCATCCTGTTTCCACATACTTCTGTGCCATTTCTACAGTTCCTGACATCAACATTGCATAATTTTGGCACATTCTTTGCCTGCACGTTCATGCTAGTCTATCCCAGAGGTTACTCTACTCTGCTGGAATTAGATCTGGTGACTGAGGATGCCACTTCATCATGACTGCTTTCATGATCATGCTCAGAAGCTACTTTTTGTTGGTGACTTGGTGTGTTAACATGATGCAAGCAGCTACTGGAATATTGTAACCTGCAGCCATTCTGGTATGAACACAGTTGGCAAAAATACCATTAAGGATCAAAGTGTGTCAAAAAACACCATCCCCACATCACCAGCCCGGACTGGTGACTAAAGGCAGGCTGGGTCACTGGATTCACGCTGCTGATGCCAAATAGTGACCTTACCATCAGCCATGTAAAGAGTAAAATCTGGAGACTGTGGTGCTGAAAGCCCCTGGAGATCAGTGAGCCTAGATGGACTCAAACCAGCTCATTAGGCACCAACAATACTCTCTCATTAGAAATGTTTTTCCCATTCTGATGTTTAAAGTTAACTGCAGCTCATGACCTACACTGAGGTGCAGCTACATGACTAGCTGGTTGATTAGATAAGAGTATGAATAGGAAGGTGTACAAGTAACACACTCCATGTGAATATTTTCTAACGTATGCAAATAATCAGGGAAGTTCACACACCCTCATATATTACACAGCACACTTATTCCTACATCCTCTGCAAATATCAGAACTCTTCTCTTAACTTCTTTATTTTCTGCCTGTTCTTTTCACCAGACTCTGTGAAATGCGGATTGACCTACTTCCTGATTTATCCTTATTTCGCATCAGTTCTATGAATGGAATTCAAGAAATTCCACATTTACTCACATACCCTGCTACTCTGAATGAGGTGAAACCCTCACATGTGCAATCCCATAATAATCCCTGCCTGGACCATATCTGCTAAAAATATCAAGAAACCTAATACTAAACATACAATCTAGGATTTAAAACCAAAACAAGCGATAAAATAAACATATTTAATTAAATCTCACTCTCAAAGCAGTGAGCATAATGTTACCTCTTCCTCTCTCTCAAGCTAAAGCAAAAATAAAGTCCTTCTTTAACCTGAACCTGTAACAACTAGTCCACAAAGGGCTTCTTGCAACCGTAAACAGTGGGTGTGTTGAGAAAGTCACACTGTTCAAAGTTATTTAGAAGTTATTTTATAAATATGATAAAAACCCTTTTTTAAAGTTAAACTTGCTGATGATGATTTCAACACAGAAAACCGGGAAGTTTACATCTAGCATAAAACGATTATTTAAAAACAAAAAAAACGAGCAACAGATTGTTGGTCAATCATTAATGAAGTCGTGATGAATTCATGCCTCCAGGAAGCTCCATAAATGCCTCATAAACCTTTTTGAAAATGGAGGTCTGGAAGTGGGAGCTATGAGTGGAAACGCGCTCCAGCCTCAGTCATGTCTGAGCTGCCTTTAATGCTCGTTATTATCCTATCATTTATTGACACGGAGCTTTAAGCACAGCTTCGCTTGAGTGCATCTTTACAGCAGCTCAGCGCGCGCTCCTCTCAGCTGTGTTTTTGACCCATTTGGCGCACGAACGCGAAAAGAAGCCACGCTTTTGACACGAGGACGTTTCGTGTTTTGGTTTGAAGATGCACGTAGATTCAACAGACAACACAAAATACTGAATGAGGTCGTTCTTTCCCCTCACCTGATGAATCCAAGACTGCCAGAAACAGAAGCGCCAGGAGAGCGCAGGTCCTGCAGAGCCGCATGTCCTCAAAAATAATAATAAAAATAAATAAAATAAAAGCAAAATAATTTTAAATGATTGTTTTTGTAAGTTAAAAAGATAATCTAAAATCGCCGCCTCTCTTTCAGATACAGTTTACAGCTGCATTTCCAAGCGTTACAACAACAGCAGCAGCGTCGCTGACAGCCACTTCCTGCTCACGAACACTTGCGCGCAGCGGCACAGAAGAGGGCGTGGACCGCAGGTAGAGTACCTGTCCAAACTTGACAGGAAGAGCAGGCCCTGTCGCTGTGCCTTTAAGCGGGAACACTGCAGCGATAGCGCACGCAGTCCGGACTCTTAGATTAAGACGCGGGTCCTCTTCTGACTTCCCTTGCACTGTGTGGGACAATGAGCGCCCTATTTATAAGCAGCCAAACATGCCAAAGATTGTTGGCATCGTGCTGTGTAAACCCCCCAAAATGTGGCAGACGAAGGGTGTGGAAGCAGAGCCCGGAGCATAAGCAAACCTCGTTGCATCATAGCTGATAGATAGAAGTATTTGTCCTTTAATGCGACAAAAAGGGGGAAAAAACGAACGAAGTAGGTTTAAGTGAGTCTGAATGATTAAAAATATTAAAGCTTCAGAAGGAATATTAGTGCGAAGCAAAACAGACATAAATCAGGTTGTTCCTGGTCAGCTGGAATTTCCATTTTGTAAAATGGAGATGGAAATGTGATTAACTGTGCGTAAGACAGCTTCTGCACAGCACTCCCGCAGTTGCAGAGACTGCCTCCTGCCTCCACACGCCTCGTGACGCAGACATTCCTGCACAGACACATACCTGAGGGCTAGACAGCTCACAAACACACATCCAGGTACTGCTATTTGAGTCAAAATGCCTGAATTCAACCTTCAGGCGTTTTTGACGTATATGAACCCAAACCTCTACATCATGACAACAAACTGGATTACACAAAGTTTTTAAAAAACAGTATACACACACACACACACACACGCAACCAACATACAAACGACATGCAAGGTTTTTGGTGAACCAGTCTGACAGCTAGGAGAGTGGGCGTTGTGATGGAAGCAGACAGCTTCACAAGAGGACCTCAGTGAGGAATCAGCAGCTGTCAGACGCCCCCTCCCTCCATCCCTCCCCTGCTCCAACTGTAACCGTAGATCCAAAACACGAGCTGCATGAGTTTCTGTTCTTTATCCTCTCTGCGTGGAAGCTAATGGAGACACACAAGCAACTTTAAATGACCGTGCTGTAATACACTTAGAATATAATAACAAGCTGTCATTGTCAATTGGAAAGATTAAAGACTTTAAAATAAAAGGAGAGGATTAAGGACCAAATATTAAAGGTTAATAAGTGTAAAGAGCCACTTAAAAAACAAACAAACAAACAGATCTCTATTGTTCAGTTACAACCAGTCGGTGTTTACCTGGTGCAGGTATTTCTGGCTCTTTGGGCGTGTCTGGTTTTAGTGACCGACTTATGAGAGGAAGGTCCTAAGGCTTCCACATGAGGGCAGTATCACAAGACAGATGATCCCAGAAAAGGCTTCACTACTCCTCCTCAATATTTAAAAATGCACATTTAGGCTGCCAAAATATAAGACTCAGGCATGTACTGTAGTACTTTATTCTTTTGGATTCACTTAAAAGTTGAGCTCTGAAGTTGTTTCTGAAGATATTTGTATTTTTTCCAGTTTCTAAATATTTAGATTATTCATATAAAAACATTCTTATTTATTTCTTTTCTTATTTTTAGTTTTTGATTAAAAAGGAAATCCATTAAGAAGTGCTGAAACTCTCAGCTTTCCTTTAACATCCTTAAAGAGTCATCTTACTCACCAGCTTGTTTGTTCACTGCACATTTTATACATGTCTCCGTACAATTTTTTCTATACATATTTCTGTACATTGTTACCTGCATATACAAACTTCAGTTGCTTATGTATATAGGTCCACTTTGTGTCTTCCTTGTATATATTGTATTCCCCTTGCTATAAGAGCTGTGTAACACTGAAATCTTCTCATCCGTGGGATAATAAAGGTTTATTCTATTCTATTCTATTCTATTCTATTCTATCAAAATCTTATCCAAGTAAAAGTGGAGATTTTTTAACCAGCAGGTTTAAAGTAAAATGAGTTCCTGTGAGTGTTAAAATATAATAAAAATAATTATAATTATCAATAAGACTGATGGACATTTTGCCTACCCTCACATCCTACAATAACACCAACTCTTTGCATGTCCTCCTTCACTCCTTATTTTACATCCATTATCCAGTATTCACACATTGTTAGTATGAATGGCTGTTTTTATCATGTAGCTGACTGTAGTTTTTGCCGTATAAACACGGAGTCAGATGTTTAAACCAGCGTCCTCACAATGTGAGTGCTGTGGTAGGCTGAATGTGCTGCAGGTTCTTTTTCACCTTCAGGCTCCTTCCTCTGCAGCTCTGACACATTTCATCTCTTAGCTTACCCAAGAATACAGTTTTGAAATAGAGAGCTGCTTAGAACTGAAATTTCTCACAGTAGCAGTAACAGAAAAACCTCAAAAACCTAAAAAACAGCACTTACTCTTTTCCTAAAATGTACTCCACCATTAGACACTTTTAAAAACATTAAACAGCTTCTTAAATACTGTATAAGTACAAAATCGAAGTACTTTTACTCCTTTATTTGTGTTTTCTTTCACACAAAACTACTTTCTGTCTAAAGTTTTTCAGCCGCCTCGGAGGAGTCATTTCTTAAGATTTTGCCCTTCAGAGAGCAAAGGCAGAGAGCAAATTCTCATAAACCCAACGAGCAGCTCCTCTTACAGCTGTCTGCACTGCACATAAAATTAGACCTCCAGACAGCCATGCTGCAGACTCAGAGCAGTGGGAAAACTGGTGCTGAAATGAATCCCAGTTACAGTGACAGTGTTTACTTTGGTAAGAATGGAAAAGACTTAATATTCACCTTTTTTTGGTGGATTAGCCTTGATTTTATTATTCAGGTGTGCTGCCAGTTGTTCCATTTATTCTTCATGTTTATTCAGGAACTTGTACGAGATGCAATCAAGCTGTCTACAGAGCAGGTCAAGCATGTCAGGCGATGGGACGTTTATTCCACAGCGCGTGCTTCATCTGCAGCGTTTGCAGTGAGCTCTCCTCGTGTGAATGCTTCTCTGATAGTACAGTGTGATGTGTAACGGTCTACATATTTAAGCTTTTGCATGTTTTCAGGTAAAACGCTCAGTGGCAAGCCTTTCTACACAGTGTCAGGGATGATATATTGTGAGGATGACTTTTTGGTAAGTATGTTCTTTTAATAGGTTGAAAAATGACAGATTAACTTTATTGCCTAATCTATTTGGGTGGTGGTGTTTTGCTGGTACTCGTGGTATTTTCTGCAGTTCTCTGGAGTTCATCCATCCCCTGAAGTGTGTAACAGCTGTGGCTTTTTAATCACAGATGTGGTAACTATTAATTTATTTACTTAAACAGTAATGTGAAAAAGCATTTCCCCCCTTCCTGATCTTAGGTTTTCTTCCTATATTTGTCACGCACACATGTTTCAGATCATCAAATACATATTAATATTAGAAAACGATACCCCAAATAAATATGCAGTTTTTAAATTACCTTTTCATTTATTAACGGATTAAAAGCTGTTCAACCTTGCCTGCCCTACATTTGACAACATTTATTTGGGAAAACTAAGTTCATTTAATTTTTTTACACTCAGGCCCAATTGCTGCCCAACCTGCTGAATCAAGAAATCATCTGTCTGAGAAAGTGGAGAAAGAAAAGCCCTGAAATGCAACATATCATGTCACGATCTAGAGAAACAGCTGATGAACAAAGTCACTGACATCTATCAGTCTGTAAAGGGTTACAAAGCCATTTCAAAGGGATCTGGCATAAAACTAACACAGCATTTCTTAGAAATGTTTTACTCAGGTTATCTTTGTCTAATATTAGAATTTGTTTGATGATCTGAAACATGTAAATGTGAAAAATGTGCAAAGAAAACTAAGAAACCAGGAAGGGGTCAAATACTTTTTCTCAGCACTGTGAGTATATGTGTGGTGTCACATGCAAGAAACTGACATTACATTGGATGATCAGATCCTGCAGGCTCGTGGGAAACCCTACCACCCATCCTGCTTTCGCTGTGTCGTCTGCAGACAGAGCCTGGAGGATCAGCCTTTCGCTGTCGACTCACACCGCAGAATCTACTGTGTCAGTGACTACCACAGGTGGGTGTTTTATGTAGCAACAATAGTCCTTTTCAAGAGCAAAGGGGGAAACCCTGCCAGACAGGCTGAACAGGAGAAAACTCACACCTTTGTTGACTTCATGTTTTCACTGAAACCTCTTCACGGTTTCAGGGTCCAGGCTCCCCGCTGTGCTGCCTGCAGGTTGCCGATACTCCCAACAGAAGTGAGCTTCACAGAAATTATGCAAAATATTTGATCATTCAATTCACAGCAAATTATTTCACAAAGAAGCACTCTGAGTGCTTTGTTATCTCTTTTTTTTCAGGGATCCACAGAGTCTATTCGAGTGACATCCTGTGACGGAAACTACCATGTAGAGTGCTACAGGCCTGGTGTTAACCTCATTTAATGAAGACAGATTCTGTGATACTTAATAAGATACCCTAATAAAGTCATTCACTCCTGCTATTTGTTTCTCCTTAGTTTTGTGTGTGGATCTGTCTCCTCTGATGCACCTCCACCTGTAGGCAGCATTCACCGCCATTAGCACCACCTTGTGTCTAAATCGGGTACTACAACCATCTCCCATCTCCCGGAACTGTTCGCGATAAGCACTGATAATGGCGTCAGTCACGGTACGTGGCTTGGCTCTCTGCACTACGTCTTTGCTAAACTTTGCGTTTGTTTTCATATCCGGTGCAGATCTCATTCGGTTTGTCTCGTTTCGAGCCATTTATCATAACATCACGGGGGAGACGACACTCTGTCGAGGTAAGTTCCCGTAAGCGGCAGGCGGCCAGGAGCGATTACCAAACACTGGTGGAGGCGATATCTGTAAAACCTTTAAATACCTCATATACTTTTTGGCTATGGAAAAAAAATACTGTAAAGGGTTATATAAATATAATTTAACGTATATTAAATTCATATACGTCATATAGTTCAAGTTCTCCATATATGGTATAAATTCCACTGGGCGGCTGTTTGGACCCAGCGCCCGGCTAGCTCAGTCGGTAGAGCATGAGACTCTTAATCTCAGGGTCGTGGGTTCGAGCCCCACGTTGGGCGGCGAGATTTTTTTTCTTATGTTTTTTAGGGCTGTTTTTATTATTAGGGCTATTTTATTCCGTTTACTAAAACGAAAATGATCATTACGGGCTTAAAAGCATAATTTGCTTATCGCCAATATCAAATATCGACCAAATGGCGAGTGTTTGAAAGCTGATTTCGGGTGAGCAGAAATGCTGGGTTTGTTAATTAGATTAATTAGCTGTTCGTGGTAACGTTCGATTTGCTGTTTTGTTTTTTGTTTTTTTGTGGCATTTTCAATGAGTGCTTATTAACAGTAATTATGTTATTAGGATTGCTGTCAATTTTAAAGTGACGTTTTTTCCTCTGATTTCCCACGTCTAAGACTCCATACCATGGTCGGTGGCCCTGCGGGACAGCTCTGTTCTGAGGGCTCTTGCTGTGGATCTGGGGCTCCTGGCCCTCTTCATCGTGCAGCACAGCCTGCTGGCCTGGCTGCCTGTCAAACAGGCCCTGCAGTCAGTGCTGGGGCCCCTCAACAGGACAGCATACTGCTTCACCACAGCACTCGCCCTCCAGGTACAGCAGCGCCCTTTCTCTGAGTGTTTACTGTCACATAGAAGCATAACTTACTCTTCCCTTAGTGTTAATCACATCTTTCAGTGTGCATCATTGCTCTGTTTCCTGTGTTAGATCTTGATGCGTTGCTGGCAGCCTGTGACTAACGCCCCCTGCCTGTGGTCAGTGCGTCAGGCACCCTGGAGTGTCTGGTTCCCCCTGCTCTGCTTCTCGCTGCACTTCCTCTGTTGGGCCATCATCTGCAGCATCCTCATGATCTTTGATTACCCAGAACTACTGGGCATCAAGCAGGTAGGGAGCAAAAGCAAATGCACATGTTTGTGCTTTCAGATGCTGGAAAATCAGAGGTTCAACTAAAAATACAAAAAAAAATGATAACAGTTTGCTTTATTTTAAAAAGTGGTTGTTGATTACTGCTTGGTTAGTTGGTGTTCCTTAAAAGAATTAATTAACACCACTTTAAAATATCGTGCTGTTAAACAACAACAAGCAAATGGATATTTACTGCACATATGCTCCCTGGCCATTTCATTAGGTACAGCTTTTCAACTGGTCAATAACAAAAATATCTAATCAGCCAATCACATGGCAGCAGCTCAGTGCATGTAGGCATGTAGACATGAGCAGCTGACCTGCTGAAGTTCAAACTGAGCATCACATGGGGAGGAATTTCAAGGTTTTAATTTTCAGCACCCATCAGTATGAATCACAACCCTAATCAGAGTTTTCACTGTTGTGGCTGAGCAGGACCGAAAGATTTTACTGCAGTGAGAAGTGAACCTCCGTCCCCAAATGTAAAGGCTCTCCTCCAGTAAAGCAGTGCTAGTGTGGTGCCAGTGTTGCCTTGGTGCACACATTTTGACAATTTTGAGAACCAGCTTTTAAGAAGTGTCACTGGGAGAATTTAGGGTTATTTTACATGGAAATGTTGATCTATCTGTGAGCTGCATCTGCCAGTTATCAGTGAATGTTTTCAGTTAGCCTCTTGAATACCTTGACACATAGCTGTGCGTCCAATCAAGTTGTTTTGAAAGAATTATGATGATAATAGCGTAACCTAGTCCCTCCTCAGTGGGTGGACCAGTCTCAGTTAATCATTCATACAGCAGTTATTAATAATCTATATGTTTCACCTGTTTCACCTGTCACCTGGTGCTCTGGGCCTAACTCCGTATTTAATGACTCTGACCCTTTCCACCACCATCTTATAATTACATTTTAATGAAATGCCCTTTTAAAAAGTAATCTGCATTACTTAGATCAGTAACTTCGGTGCTCCCGGAGGAGAGCGTGTGTTGGGCATGAATAAACTTCATTTACTGACTAACCTCCTCCCTCAGGTGTATTACGACTGTCTCGGATTGGGGGACCCCCTCTCTCACAAGTCGCCCCGTGCCCAGCGCCTCCTGTCCCACCTGCGCCACCCGGTGTGCCTGGAGCTGGGTGTGGTGCTGTGGCTCCTGCCGGCCTTATCCCTGGACAGGCTCCTGCTGGCGGGGGCTCTGTCGGCCTACCTGGCTCTGGCACACTCTCTGGACAAACAGGATTTAGCCTACCTGTGCGTGCAGCTCAACAGTAAGATGCAGCTCTTTGCGCAGCCACACGGAGGCAGCGCCGACGCCACGCCCAACGAGGACACTGACGACCACAAGAAGAAGTGAAGCAGAGGTCGTCCCAGTGCTTTGATCTGAATCTGTCATAAATAATGTTTTAAAACTGACTACAAAAGAGTTTCTGTAAGCCTCTTGAGCCTGATGTCTGCTGATTTTGTGATTTCAAATGTATTTTATTACAGTTTATGCCATCGTGTGAAAACACAGCCGCCCCCCCTGCTCGTACAGAGGTGTCCGTTTTCTTAAAACTACTAATTTTGATACAATTAGGTTGAAACATTTTTATACTGAATATTTTTTAATACATGAAATTGTTTTACTGTATAGTTTTACTGGCTGTTACAGTGCCCAAGACAAGTACATTAACACGGTGTTTCTCTGGAAGCTAATTTCAGGTTTATCTTTCCTTTGAAAAACGACGTTTCACTGAGATTTTACACTGGTAAAAGCTTTTTTCTTTTTCTGCTCTGTGACAGAACAAAGTGACAATGTTTCTGCTACAATGAATGTATCTCCTTCAACGCTTTTCCTCGACAATGAGATCAAACCAATTGTTTAAAGACGTTAAGCTGAACATATCGAACAAACTACTTTTAACGTTTATCATGCTTGATAAATATGGTATTATCAAGGCAGCCAGTATTAGTATTAGTGGATTCTCAGAGTACTGTAATGTCTCATTTGGTATGTTTTTTTACACTAATGTTTTCCCCATGTGTGCCTTACTGTAATTACAGTGATAGCTTTCAGTATTTTTAAAAACATGTTAAATAAAAGTGGAAAGTTCACTTGTCCCGGTAAATTGTGTCTTTTTATTTTTATGAGTCAAGTTTTAAGAGTTTAAGGAACAGATGTTTGATTTAAATTGTTGTTTGTTTGTTTTTTATTTAATTTTAAAGCTGATATATCACAGATGAACTACAGCTTTAATAACCGAGCCAGGAGATGGTTTTTTTTTGTTGTTGTTGTTTTAATTTTACAGGGTATAGATCGATATATATGTTCACTGGCCAACTTATTGGGTACACCTGAGGGATTTTTGTAATTAGGGGAAAGTTTCATATCCATCTAAACGCTCTCGTGTTTATGAATATGAATAAACATGAATAACATTTTTGACTGTATGTTTTCTACATCAGAGACGCTAGAAAATAAAAATGCGAATAATCAGCAATGAAGATAGTCCGGTAGTTTGGGGTACACACCTCTGTCAGTGGAGCTGATCGTGTTTGATCTGCTTCAATCAAGTCCCGCTGCAGCTCTGCATGCTGACACCACATCCCGTTTCACCGCCCTCCACCTCCACCGCTTTACCAATTAACCCTGCGGGACGCTGGGGTGAGCAAAGGCGGGGGAGGGCTGGTTGGTGGCCGGACAGACGGCTGTGTGCTTTAAACGCCTTTTCTTAGGTCCGACAATATGGTGTGTGCCACTAAACTCTCCAGAGGGAATTGAATGTAATTATCGGATTAGACCGCTGCAGCTCTCGAGCTGGAAATATTTACAACCGCACGGAGGACGGAGGTTTTTCTGCTCTGATGTCCACTCAGGTCCCGATATCGCTTGACTGGGTCACTGATCATTTTTGAAAGGTGGGTTTTGACAGGACAGATTAATCTGTTCTTTACAGTCAAAGTAGGTTTTCCATGGTGGAGTAGAGCGCTTTACGCACAAGTGGAGATGTAAAGTCGGGGTGGATGCAGTGATATTTTTGCCAAAACAAGAGTTTGGGTGAGTTATATTCAAAATTTTCATAAAATATGTTACAACTGAGGTTATGAATTATGTGCTGCGAGTTAATTCGATTACATGTGTTATTTTATTATCCTTTAACATGAACAGATAAATAGACTGCACTGTCAAATGTGTGCTTTAATGCCTACTTGGCTGTAAATAAAACCTGCTAACATGTTACCATGATGTGTAGTTGTTCCTCGGGTTTATGTGGCAAAACTTCCATTTTTGCATGTTTATTAGAAAGAAAATTGATAATATTTTATTCTTTGCAGAGGATTCCCAGAGGCTCTGAAGAGGAACCGTTTTATCCAAAAGTGGGCACCTTTTCTGTTATGTCTGTTTCCTCTCTGCCAGAATGGAAACAACTCCTTCTGGAGAAAAAGAGGAAAGAAGAGGAGGAGCGAGAGAGGAGGGAAAAAGAGGAGGAGGAGAAGTTTGCCAGCATGCCAGCTTGGAAGCGAGGGATCATCCAGAGAAGGAAGGCGAAGCAGGAGTATGTGGG